TAGTGTCTTCCTGAGTGAAAACCGAGAGAAAATAATAATTAAAAATAGAGCACACTTTATTGTCTTCGTCAGTAAAAACTACATAGATATTTTTAAGGGGACCTATGTTATCTCTAACTTTTGTTCTGTACACCTGGAAAAAACTTTTAGGGTTAGATTTCGAATCCCTATCAACTTTAATTTCATAGTCCCGTTTAGCTTTTCTTATCCCCTTTTATAACGTCCCTCTTAATATCGGTATACTGATTCATAAGGTGACCCTCACCTCTTTTGATACGCCTATAAATTCCTTTCTTCTGCCCTAAAAGATATTTGAACCTATTATTCATCTATTTTGGGTAATTTCTATTCGATCTAATTTCTTTATACGGAATAAATGTTCTTTGAGCAGCATGTATAGTGTATAGAAAACTCTCATATTGATAGCTCTCTTCGTTACCCCAGTCAACAGATGATAAGTGTTCTCTAAGCCCATCGTAATCTGCTAAGCGAAAATCTGGGACCATTACTGAGTTATCCCTACTATCATACTTCCATTCAATGCTAAAGGTAATTGATTTAGGATCACTTGCGCCGAGTTCCTCTGTAATTTCTAAATTATTAGCAAGGGTTTCCTTGTTTGCCAGAACCAAATCAAGTAGGTTATTTCGCCTTGTAGGTTCTATCACAAACTGCTTCAATAAACAATCCTGAACTACTTCTAAGAAATCGTTAGATTCTAAATTCCCAGTCAAGAAATTCCAATGAATCTGACTAAAGTTGAAGTCCCCTAGAATTACTACATTATCGTGCATTGTGGCCTTAATCCCATAGTAGTCTCCCCTGGTCCCTATCTAAGTTTGGAGAACGGTATATCACACCTCAAATCAATTTTTCATGCCCCTCCGAAAATTCTATCCAGAGAGACCCTGAATGTCTTATTTCAGATCTTATACTCGTTTTTATGCAACAGTTCAAGCGATCTCGGGCATACATTACCACACCACCCCCCTTCCCGATACTTCTGTCCGTTCGTCCTTTCTCATGAGTCGGGTGTCGTCGCGCATCAGGTGTTGCTTTGTAGTGGGATGTGATGGTGTGGTGTGGTCTCGACCCTTTATATGCCTTCCTTGGTGTATTGTCTTTATAGTTCCTTGATAATGTGAGAAGTCACGAAAGCACTTGGAATTTCACTAACCTTTCACAGTGGTTGTTTTGCACACACCACATACACAACACATACCACACCACACAACACACACACACACACACACACACACACACACACACACACGCACACGCACACACACACACACACACACACACACACACACACACACACACACACACACACACACACACACATACAGGGATAACAGGGAAGGCACTAAAACGGATCAGGGAATACTTGTCAGGAAGACAGCAGCGAGTCATGGTACCTGGCGAGGTGTCAGAGTGGACACCTGTGACCAGCGGGGTCCCACAGGGGTCAGTCCTAGGACCAGTGCTGTTTTTGGTATTTGTGAACGACATGACGGAAGGAATAGACTCCAAAGTGTCCCTGTTTGCAGATGACGTGAAGTTCATGAGAAGAATTCACTCGATCGAAGACCAGGCAGAACTACAAAGGGATCTGGACAGGCTGCAGATCTGGTCCAGCAACTGGCTCCTGGAGTTCAACCCCACCAAGTGCAAAGTCATGAAGATTGGGAAAGGGCAAAGAAGACCGACGACGGGGTACAGTCTAAGGGCCAGAGACTACAAACCTCACTCAAGGAAAAAGATCTTGGTTTGAGTATAAAACCAGGCACATCTCATGAAGCGCACATTAACCAAATAACTGCTGCAGCATATGGGTGCCTAGCAAACCTCAGAACAGCATTCCGAAATCTTAAGGAATCGTTCAGGACCCTGTACACCGTATACGTTAGGCCCATATTGGAGTATGCGGCACCAGTTTGGAACCCACACCTAGCCAAGCACGTAAAGAAACTAGAGAAAGTGCAAAGGTTTGCAACAAGACTAGTCCCAGAGCTAAGAGGTATGTCCTACGAGGAGAGGTTAAGGGAAATCAACCTGACGACATTGGAGGACAGGAGAGATAGGGGGAACATGATAACGACATACAAAACACTGAGAGGAATTGACAAGGTGGACAAAGACAGGATGTTCCAGAGATGGGACACAGCAACAAGGGGACACAATTGGAAGTTGAAGACACAGATGAATCACAGGGATGTTAGGAAGTATTTCTTCAGTCACAGAGTAGTCAGTAAGTGGAATAGTTTGGGAAGTGATGTAGTGGAGGCAGGATCCATACATAGCTTTAAGCAGAGGTATGATAAAGCTCACGGTTCAGGGAGAGTGACCTAGTAGCGACCAGTGAAGAGGCGGGGCCAGGAACTTGGACTCGACCCCTGCAACCTCAACTAGGTGAGTACAACTTGGTGAGTACACACACACAAGAATTCCTTGCATTGTTAAAATCTCTAGTAAGGCTGATGCATGCAGGGGATGAGATGAAAAGCTGTAAGCCTTCTCCCTGAAAGCTGGCTGCCTTGGATCAACGACTAGCGCAAGCTGGACGCTAAGGTATTGGTCCAGTGTGGTGAGAATGGTGTAGCACTGCGTACCTTGTTCCAAGGTTCGTAGGTTCGAGTCTCCTTCAGCCAGAGATCAGTGTTTGTGTATATTTCGCCTGATCTTGCGAATTCCTTGCATTGTTAATATCTCTAGGAAGGCTGATGCATGCAGGGGATGAGATGAAAAGCTGTAAGCCTTCTCCCTGAAAGCTGGCTGCCTTGGATCAAACGTGTAGCGCTAGCTACACGCCAAGGTATTGTCCAGTGTGGGTAGATTGGTAAAGCACTGCGTACCTTGTCCCAAGGTTCGTAGGTTCGAGTCTCCTTCAGCCAGAGATCAGTGTTTGTGTATATTTCGCCTGCTCTTGCGAATTCCTTGCTTATATATATATATATATATATATATATATATATATATATATATATATATATATATATATATATATATATATGCGTTTTGTGAGTGTGTGTGTGTGTGTGTGTGTGTAATTGCCAGCTAGATAACAAGCTGTGTATTAATAAGGATGGCCACATGCTGTAGGAATCATAAATATCAAGAAAACATTAATGGTATATGAAGTAGGGGCCAGATCGTTATGTCAGTATCTTGGTTCAGCCAGCCAGTGACAAGGAAGCAGGCTCAAGTTGTGAAGCGAAGTGGTACACTTGTAAATCATTGTTGGCAGACTTACCTCCAAGTCTGGTTGAAGACGATTCTCACCGTGTCTCTTGCTTGTAATTTGCCTTTCTGTACATATCCTCTGTAAATATTGTACATATTATTGCTTACTGTTTTATGAAGGAAGTATTTACTCTGTGCTGCCTTTACCTCGTTCCTCGTTTCTACCTTGGTTATCGTTCTACGACCAGGTGTGCTGGCCAAGAGACTTCACCGGTGTTTATAATAACTACCATATATCATTATTATAATGCATTACCATTCAGCACTGCGATACTGTGTTAACACACAGCATTATCAAACAGTATTAACATGCAATATTGCAATACAGTATTAAACAGCATTACTAAACATTATCATAGACCACTACCATACAACATTACTATAATACCATAGAGAATTTGTGCATTATTGTACACCATTACCATAGATCATTTATATACATTATTAATGACATTGTTATACTGCATTACCATACAACTTTAGTATACTGCATTACGATACTACATTAGTATAGAGTTTTACCATTCAGTATCACCTTATAACATTCCCATAGACAATACTATACAGCATTACCATACAAAGTTACAATACAGCATTACCATACAAAGTTACAATACAGCATTACCACACGAAGTTACAATACAGCATTACCATACAAAGTTACAATACAGCATTACCATACAAAGTTACAATACAGCATTACCATACAAAGTTACAATACAGCATTACCATACAAAGTTACAATACAGCATTACCATACAGCTAATGGAAACGTGACTGCAGGGTCAGCTTGATTCCTGGTTAGGTGAGGAAGTACAGATCCACTACAACTTGTTTCATGTAACCCACACGGGTTTAGTTGACCAAGCCTCAAGCTACAACACATGGTCGTTCGAGTATGATAATAATTAACACTTGATGTATGTAAATATAATGAGAATAATAGCAACAACAACAGCAACAACAATAATAATAATAATAATAATTATAATGATAATAATAATGTATGTATTATATTGTCTACCACCATTGATCTATCATTAACATTACGAGTACAGATAGGAAGTGCATCTTTCTGGTGTTTAGCAGACGGACGATCAGGTCTACCACGTCTCGCGCTGAATGATCCAAATAGGTTTAGCGCTTAACATGAATTTAATAAACAGGATTAACATACGGTAGATATGATGTAGTGCACCACCAGTGATATATCATAAACATTCAATAGATATGTTAGTCTACCTCCACTGTCTTGTTACTAATACAGCAGATATATGTGTGACTCTACCACAGCTGACCTGTCATTAACATGTAGTGGACAAGATGAAGTCTCCCTGCCACTTTCTAACTAACTAACACACTGTCACCATTAACCACTGATAATAGTTATTAACAAAGAATAGACATGTGAGAATCAACCTCTGAGCCCCCGAAAACTATATTAGTTTCCCCTCACATTTCCAGATATTTTTCTCCTGGAGGAGTTTCATTGTTTCTACGGTACTGCTGCAGAAATCTTATTGTTCATGCTTTTCTCCTGCAGAAGCTCGCGGTTCTTTCCTGACTTCTGCAGAAGTGCTAAAAATCTACCCAAACGCCTTCATAACTTTAACTGATGGCAATAAAACTTGTAAAAGTTTCACAGTTCCTTCCTAACAGCTGCAGAAGTCTCACAGCTCCATCTTAAAACATGCAGGAGCTTCACGCTTATTCCTTCGCTCCTGCAAGACGCATGACCATTTCTTTTCGCTGTGTAGGGGTGGTGATGGTAGGAGCCAGCGAGCTGCCCTCCATCACGGGGCTGTACCCACCACTAACCATCGTCTTGGTGGCGGTGGGCGGCATCCTGGTGGTGATGGTGTTGCGACGACCATGGAAGGGGATGGCCCAGGGACGACTCAGCCAAGACGTCTCCAGCCTCCACATCCAGACGAAGAACGACAGCAACAGAGGCCATCGTGACGTTGAGGAGAAAGACCCTAATATTATACAGGTTACCAGAGGTGAGTCTCCTTTTCATGACGCTTGGACAATATCAGTGTCCAAAATAGTCAGAAATAAAGACAAGTTGACAGAGAACGACCCTTATGTAAAAGATTTTCTAAGTTCAGAAAAATCTTTCTTGGTGGGTCTTCCATTAACTTGTCCTTACTTCATCCATTGTACCCTTATATTTAATTCATATCATTGTTAATTACCTTAAACACATTTTGGGAATCTCATAACTTAGATATCTTATTGTCATTAACCTTCCCTTAATGTGGTATTGATCAATAACAATACAAATCGTTCGTGGTTACAGTAATAAAAAATACTGCTCGTTAAGCTAGTACACCAAACAGGGAGTAGAATGACAGTAGCTCAGAGGCACCCACACCACCGTATGTCCTCGCATGACGGTAAAACACCTAGCTTGGCTGGGTGCGTCATTCTTGTAGGATTGCTTGGTCCTGTGGGTTAGAGCGTCAGGTGTTGTCACTTAGCATGAAGCGGGCCAAAGCAGCATGGGTTCGAGTCCTTGGCTAGTCACAGTGTTGTTATTGATCAATACCACTCGTTCGTGGTTACAGTATACGTATATATATATATATATATATATATATATATATATATATATATTGTAACGACGAACGACTGGTATTTAATCAGTAACAATACTGCGACTTGCAGGGGGATAGAACCCATGTTGCTTTAGCCTGCCTAATGAGTAGTGAAAATTCTACGATGCTCTAACCCACGAAACCATACAATCCTACAAGAATCACGCACCCAACAGAGCTAGGGGTTATACCGTGACCCAAAGACATACAGTGGTGCTGGTGCCTCAGAGTTAATTCCATTCTACTCTCCGTTTGGTGTACTAGCCTCCAAAACCAGTGTATATAGTATTGTAACCGTGAACAAGTATTATTTAATCAATACCAACACTGCGACTAGTTGGGGGATCGAACCCATTTTATTTTAGATTACCTCATGGTGAGCGAAAATTCCACGGCGCTCTAACCCATAGGATCATACAATCCTAGAAGTCACACACCCAGGAGAGCTAGGTGTTGTACCGTGATCCGAGGACATACAATGGTGTGGATTCCTCAGAGCTAATTTCATTCTACTCCCTGTTTGATGTATTCTCCTCGGATCACGTTACAACACCTAGCTCTGCTGGGTTCGTAATTCTTGTAGGATTGTATGGTTCCATGGGTTAGAGCGTCGTGGAACTTTCGCTTACCATGAAGCAGGCTAAAAACAACACTGGTTTGATCCCTCTGATAGTCGCAGTTTTGTTATATACATATATATTATATATTATATATATATATATATATAATATATATATATTATATATATATATATATATAATATATAAAACACTGATCTCTGGCTGAAGGAGACTCGAACCTACGAACCTTGGAACAAGGTACGCAGTGCTATAGCAATCTCACCACACGTGACAATACCTTGGCAGGCAGCTTGCGCCACACGTTGATCCAAGGCAGCCAGCTTTCAGGGAGAAGGCTTACGAATTCCTTGCATTGTTAAAATCTCTAGTAAGGTTGATGCATGCAGGGGATGTGATGAAAAGCTGTAAGCCTTCTCTCTGAAAGCTGGCTGCCTTGGATTAAACGTGTAGCGCAAGCTACACGCCAAGGTATTGTCCAGTGTGGGTAGATTGGTAAAGCACTGCGTACCTTGTCCTAAGGGTAGTAGGTTCGAGTCTCCTTCAGCCAGAGATCAGTGTTTGTGTATATTTCGCCTGCTCTTGCAAATTCCTTGCATATATATATATATATATATATATATATATATATATATATATATATATATATATATATATATATATATATATACTCACCTAGTTGAGGTTGCAGGGGTCGATTCCAAGTTCCTGGCCCCGCCTCTTCACTGGTCGCTACTGGGTCACTCTCCCTGAACCATGAGCTTTATCGTACCTCTGCCTAAAGCTATGTATGAATCCTGCCTCCACTACATCGCTTCCTAAACTATTCCACTTCCTGACTACTCTGTGGCTGAGGAAATACTTCCTAACATCCCTGTAATTCATCTGTGTCTTCAGCTTCCAACTGTGTCCCCGTGTTGCCGTGTTCAGTCTCTGGAACATCCTGTCTTTGTCCACCTTGTCAATTCCTCTCAGTATTTTGTAAGTCGTTATCATGTCCCCCCCTATCTCTATTGTCCTCCAGTGTCGTCAGGTTGATTTCCCTTAACCTCTCCTCGTAGGACATACCTCTTAGCTCTGGGACGAGTCTTGTTGCAAACCTTTGCACTTTCTCTAGTTTCTTTACGTGCTTGGCTAGGTGTGGGTTCCAAACTGGTGCCGCATACTCCAATATGGGCATTACGTACACGGTGTACAGGGTCCTGAACGATTCCTTATTAAGATGTCGGAATGCTGTTATGAGGTTTGCTAGGCGCCCATATGCTGCAGCAGTTATTTGGTTGATGTGCGCTTCAGGAGATGTGACTGGTGTTATACTCACCCCAAGATCTTTTTCCTTGAGTGAGGTTTGTAGTCTCTGGCCCCCCTAGACTGTACTCCGTCTGCGGTCTTCTTTGCCCTTCCCCAATCTTCATGACTTTGCACTTGGTGGGATTGAAATCCAGGAGCCAATTGCTGGGCCAGGTCTGCAGCCTGTCCAGATCCCTTTGTAGTTCTGCCTGGTCTTCGATCGAATGAATTCTTCTCATCAACTTCACGTCATCTGCAAACAGGGACACCTCGGAGTTTATTCCTTCCGTCATGTCGTTCAAAAATACCAGAAACAGCACTGGTCCTAGGACTGACCCCTGTGGGACCCAGCTGGTCACAGGTGCCCACTCTGACACCTCGCCACGTACCATTACTCGCTGCTGTCTTCCTGACAAGTATTCCTTGTTCCATTGTAGTGCCTTCCTTGTTATCCCTGCTTGGTCCTCCAGTTTTTGTACTAATCTCTTGTGTGGTACTTTGTCGAACGCCTTATTGCAGTCCAAGAAGATGCAATACACCCACCTCTCTCTCTCTTGTTTTACTGCTGTCACCTTGTCATAGAACTCCAGTAGGTTTGTGACACAGGATTTCCCGTCCCTGAAACCACGTTGGCTGCTGTTGATGTGATCATTCCTTTCTAGATGTTCCACGACTCTTCTCCTGACAGTCTTCTCCATGACTTTGCATTCTATACATGTCAGTGACACTGGTCTGTAGTTTAGTGCGTCATGTCTCTCTCCTTTTTTAAAGATTGGGACTACATTTGCTGTCTTCCATGCCTCAGGCAATCTCCCTGTTTCGATAGATGTATTGAATATTGTTGTTAAGGGTACAAATAGCATCTCTGCTCCCTCTCTCATGACCCATGGAGAGATGTTATCTGGCCCCATTGCCTTTGAGGTATCTAGCTCACTCAGAAGCCTCTTCACTTCTTCCTCGGTTTTGTGTACTGTGTCCAGCACCTGGTGGTGTGTCACACCTCTCCGTCTTTCTGGAGCCCCTTCTGTCTCCTCTGTGAACACTTCTTTGAATCTCTTGTTGAGTTCCTTACATACTTCACGGTCATTTCTTGTTGTCTCTCCTCCTTCCTTCCTTAGCCTGATTACCTGGTCCTTGACTGTTGTTTTCCTCCTGATGTGGCTGTATAACGGCTTCGGGTCAGATTTGGCTTTTGCTGCTATGTCGTTTTCATATTGTCGTTGGGCCTCCCTTCTTATCTGTGCATATTCGTTTCTGGCTCTACGACTGCTCTCCTTATTCTCCTGGGTCCTTTGCCTTCTATATTTCTTCCATTCCCTAGCACACTTGGTTTTTGCCTCCTTGCACCTTTGGGTGAACCATGGGCTCATCCTGGCTTTTTCATTATTCCTGTTTCCCTTGGGTACAAACCTCTCCTCAGCCTCCTTGCACATTGTTGCTACGTATTCCATCATCTCATTATTAACTGGCTTCCCTGCCAGTTCTCTGTCCCACTGAACCCCGTTCAGGTAGTTCCTCATTCCCGTGTAGTCCCCTTTCTTGTAGTTTGGTTTCATTTGTCCTGGCCTTCCTGCCTCCCTCTCCACTTGTAGCTCTACTGTGTATTCGAAGCTCAAAACCACATGATCGCTGGCCCCAAGGGGTCTTTCATATGTGATGTCCTCAATATCTGCAGTACTCACGGTAAATACTAAGTCCAGTCTTGCTGGTTCATCTTCTCCTCTATCTCTTGTAGTGTCCCTTACGTGTTGGTACAGGAATAAATGAGGTAAAGTTTTTGTTCAGAGTATGGTAGTGTGGGCGGCACCCACCAGGAACTCTCTCTGAATGAGGGAGAGAGGTCCTCCTGAATGTCAATGACAACCTGTCACCCCCACAACCACCCCATATGCGGTCGGGTGGGGTAGGCCCCACAGTTTGCAGATAGCATAAGAGAGAGCAACTAGAAGATAGTTAATAGCAAGCCCTAGGCTTCAAACATCTGGGAACACGTCATGTGATGTAAGAAGTTACATTACAATAGTAGATCATCCACATACATGATGTAGCTATTGTGTACAATCTTCTAACTAATGAAACAGAGGGAATAAATGAACTCATTTTGTCAACCGGTAATACCTGATGTAAAAGAACCTTCTGGAATATTCAGGAATTATTCTCAGCGTCAATTAATATGCCTGTATGGTGTCTCCTGTTCAGGCTTTTCTTTCTTATAATAACTAGGTAATTCCTGATTTTTTTATTGCCACTATTATCTCTATTATATTACTAACTACCTAATTCAGTAAATCACTAAACTAGTTGCAATTCCCATTTTGCCATCAACTATGTGTACCTTGTGCCGGTGTACCTAAATGGGTTAGAATCTCAATAGATCACTCTGCCTCTTTTTTGGGGTATCCTAGGATAATCGCACCTGCGCACCAATACCTAAATGAACCCCATGCCTACTTCTTCACTACTGTTGTTATATAACTCAGGTTGCACTCTGTGACTGCTGCACACCACGTAGAGTACCAGTAACCTTACGATATCTGTATGCAGAAGAAGCTGGGTGAGTTATACATTGTGTCGCTTGTCACGGCAACC